TTTTTTTGTAACCTTGGCCAGATCTGTGCTTTGCCACAATTCTGTCTCTGAGCTCTTCAGGCAGTTCCTTTGACCTCATGATTCTCATTTGCTCTGACATGCACTGTGAGCTGTAGGGTCTTATATAGACAGGTGGGTGGCTTTCCTAATCACGGTCAATCAGTATAATCAAACACAGCTGGACTCAAATGAAGGTGTAGAACCATCTCAGGGATGATCAGAAGAAATGGACAGCACCTAAGTTAAATATATGAGTGTCACAGCAAAGGGTCTGAATACTTATGACCATGTGATATTTCAGTTTTTCTTTTTTAATAAATCTGCAAAAATGTCAAAAATTCTGTGTTTTTCTGTCAATATGGGGTGCTGTGTGTACATTAATGAGGAAAAAAATGAACTTAAATGATTTTAGCATATGGCTGCAATATAACAAAGAGTGAAAAATTTAAGGGGGTCTGAATACTTTCTGTACCCACTGTATATTAAATTACTGACCAACTGTGGAATCACAGGGGAAATATACAATAAAAATTCACACTGAACTAACTGCACGAGTTGGATGTCAGCACTGTAATTACTTACTTTCAGGGAATATCTTGGCTTGGAATCCCTTCCCAAAGATCAGGTTTTCCAGATTATTAAATGCCTAGAACAAAAGTTAAGGCCAGATAGCACATAGTATTTCTATCTACCACATCATGGATTGAATCAATGAATCCTGCACTTTACTGGAAATTTAGAAGACAAAAGACAAACACAATATGAGATGTTACAGCACAACAAAGGGCTACTTTAAACAATGCACGAAAATGGTTACTTATCAGCTATTTTTAAACACAGGTTAACGATGTTAATGCCGCCAAAAGGATACAGTGAGAGAACAGATGAAGAGCACTGACCCTAGGAAACCTCCCAAGATGGTGAGCCACTCAGTAGATCCCAGCTGCTTACAGAACATCTGCATCCCCGCAAATACAAGCACTGACAGCAGACTGGACAGCACTAGAGAGGTGCCTGTGTTTACTGCTGCAAAGCCCAGAGACACAGGATCATCAGGGAAAACTTAGGCTAATCGAGTGAAATCAGTGCAAGTGAATGGGACTGTAATGCATCGTATCTGGGGCATGACATTTCATCTGGAGTTAAACTTATAAAGGATGATCAACATCTAGACTCCTAAACTATTACAACTCAGTCAGTTTTATCTAATAAGAGGGGTTAGAGAAGATTATGAGAGCAGGTGTTGGAAATAATTTCTGCAAGTTTAGTATGAGTTGAAATATCTACAGCTGGATTACGAAGTTATAAGCCTCAATTAAACATGAGCTCGCTCATTTGTATTTACTTAGTAGACTGCTGCTCTACCCTTCATAACGAAACGCCACGTCAGTGTTCGTCCATAAATGCCCACAACAGATAACAGTTAGATTCAACCTATACAATCCACATGAGCAGGCCAAGACTATGCCCTATACACATACAGCAAGAAAATGATCTCCTAGTTGTTACAGAGAAGTGTATGAAGTGAAACCTTGCTGCTGCGATCAATTAACGCTAGCTCCAAACGTTAGCTAACGTTAGCTAGTTAGACCATATAACTAGACGCTAACGCTTTACAATATCTTTGGAAATGCTAACATGCTTTTTAAAGGTTACTAGAACAAGAAATGAATCGTGCAATACATACCCATATTCTGTGTTATCACGGTACTTGTAATGAAACCGATATTTAAAAAGTTTAACCAGCTAGGTGCTACTGGCTCTAGGAACCAAAAACCTCGATACCCGGTCTAAATGACAAGTGGGACCAGCGGACGGAGTCACTTGCGTCACATTCATCTTCTTCTTCTTAGGTTTATAGTCATTTGCGATGCGAAGCACGTTATGTGTCTAATATAGTCATCCCTTATAACGTTCCTGTTACACCTGTTGTAATGGGAGCAATTCATTATTCTTAAGTTATATCCCCTTACTTTACACCTAAGCAATATTTCAGGAATATGTGCTGACACGTAACATTGTTCGTATCTATCAATATATATTCAATTACTAACTCATTGCGATTAAAGGAAATTTTCTTAAAATCAATTTTCTGTTCTGTATATAACTTAAACTTCAAATCATTAATATAATGGTTAATATATATTTACTATAATATATATTATGTAATAAATACAATTTTAAATTATACTGTAAAAGATAGAGTTGCAAAAAGGTTATAAGGAAAAACAACAGACAACGAGCAGATTAAGAATGAATTTGTACAAAATGTATTTGTGACTTAAGTAGGTTTCTTGGACTTTCAATTAATATTTGACAGACTGAAAATAACAGCAAACCACACTGGAATGTACTTTCTCAAATAATCACTTGGGCATGTTAAAAGTGAACACAATATATATGCCTTTTCTGCATCTATTTGATTAAATATATATATATATATATATATAAATCATTTGACACAGAGAATACCCTGTATATTCCTTTGATGTTTGCCAGTGCATATGTTTTTCTTGGCATTTTATACACATAAGCAGTGGTGTAGTGGTGTCTTGGCAGGTGGCTATGTTGTAGCTTCAGCTTTTACGTATTTGTACCAGAGTATCAGACATTTCTTACTTGTTCACTTCATACTTGTAACTGTGTGAGCTGTGGAGCTTATGGGCTATGTTCAGCATGCAAGTTATCTGTTCTTCGAATTTGGCCTTCAGATAGGTCTTCTTTGCAGCACTGGTACAGATTTATATGTTGCTTGTGGGGAGGAATTGTTTTGCAAACCAAAGTCAGAGACAAAAACTCTCCTGTATGCAGTAAATACAACAGATTTTTTACATGAAACACTGTAACATGATTGCCTGTAGTCTACAGGATGTGCTCTGGTTTGTATCGGCAGCTATTTTTAGATATGTTGCAGTAGATCTCCTTGCCCAGAATTAGGTATACACCGTAAACATGCATATACTGTATGTATGTATACACCACTACACCTCGGCACGAGTCAGTCAGGCACTGATTTTAGTTCATGTCTTTGTGCATCATAAATTAATCACAGACCATCTACTGCTGCTGCATCTGATAATACATCAACACTACTGTGTAGCATTTCACATCAGGACCGAGGACTGTCTTTTATAATGGCTTCTTCTTCAGTCCAATAACAGCTATAAACAAAATAATCTCCACAAGAGCCGGAAGAACACTAGAGGGAGAGAGAGAAAAAGTAAGAGAAAACATGAAGTAAACAGCCACAGTACATAATGCACTCACACCTAACTCATATTTGCAATATTTGCACATTCACTTTGCTCTGTTTGCCCCCCCCCCCCCCCCACCCGCCGGCCCCCCACACC